CTTCTGCTTGCGTACGTGATGACATGTTCTTTTCCTTTACAGGGGAACAGAAAAACAACAGAAAGTGTTTGACACATTAAAGCAGCATCTTATTTCACCACCCATTATTACTTACTCAGACTTTTCACAACCATTCACTTTATTTACTGATGTCTCTGGACTCAGATTAGGAGCTGTGTTAGCTCAATATGATAGTAAAGGAAAAGAACATGTCATCACGTACGCAAGCAGAAGAACGTCGACAGAAGAACAAAAATATAGCGCAACCGAATTGAAATGTTTAGATGTAATTTGGATCGTAAAACTCTTTCGACCCTATCTCTTATCAACCATACCTTTTACCATCATCACCGACCATTCAGCATTAACTTGGTTGATTAACAAACCAAATTCATCTGGAAGACTTGCACAATGGATAATTGCACTACGAGAATATAACTTTAATATCAAACATAAACCTGAACGAATCCATTCGAATATTGATCCACTTTCCCGAATACAACACACACCAAAAAATGATAACATTATCAAATGAATTTGAAAAATTATATCAACATTTATAATTATTTGAATTCTCTTACTATACTGAACAATTATACAAAGGATAAACAGAAATGGCTACTAGCAGAATCAAAACGATATTTTATTAATCATCACAAATTATTCAAGCAGAACAAATCAGATGTTGAGCATCCATTACAAGTCATCAAATCAACGGAAGTAGAAAATATATTATTCAATAATCATTCAGACTTAACTGCTGGACATTTTGAAATCGAAACAACATACAACAGAATAATACGAAATTATTATTGGCCCCAGATGTATCGTGATATTGAAGCTTACATTAAGACATGTGATATCTGTCAACGGAAAGGACGGCTGCATAAAAATAATACTTTAACATCAATCACCGTAAAAGAACCATTCGAAAAAGTTAGAATTGATCTCGTAGACCCCTTACCAGTCACCACCAATGGAAATCAATATATAGTAGTCACTATAGACTATTTAACCAAATGGGCAGCAGTTAAGTCTGAATGATTATTGA